CCACCTGGACCTGTGAGGCCACTGGCACACAAATGAGATTGCGAGATGCAGAGGTGCAAGTGCTAGGTTGGCTGTGTTTGCAGTGAGTGTCTTGCTCTTTCCGGCCACACAAAGAACCCCTGGGCTGCTGTTGAGGAAGTTCCCTGAGCCTACTCACGACTTGGGACTGTGCAGGGTACCCCACACCTGGCAGAGGTTCCAGGTGACCAAAGACATGACTGAGTCTGAGGTCCTGGGGGGCAGCATGCATCACACAAGCGTTGCTTTCTTTCCCTGGAAGTATCTGCGGGTTTTTCGGGGTGCCCATGGAACTTGTCACTCTGGGCAGGATGTCAGTGTGCATCCACGGTATTAAAGGCTCAGACCCCCAGCTAAGTAGTGCCTGCCAGTATATGCAAAAACTGTCCTGGCAAATGTCACCGGTGGCAGGACCAACACACACTTGGGACACAGATGCACATATAACATCACACGCATCTTCCCAGAATGTAGAACTCCAGCTGAGAACCCACTAGGGCCTATTCAGAAGAAGCTTGTGTAGGCCTTGTCACATCATGGACAGACAGGTTCGATGACAGGAAGCCTCAGGGATGAAGATTGATGGGACGCGCTGTGGTGCTTGACACCACAGCAGCCTAGCGTGGCAGCTTGGAACAGGCCAGGGGTCTGGTTTCCTCAAGTGTGCTTGTGGTTTGTGTATACGTCACAGGACCGGTCGCTGATGTCGACGAAGCCGTGCAGGGCGGGAAGAAGTGTACTTCTGCTGAGAACTTGAGGCCCTACAAGACACTAGAATTCAAACTGCCCTTGGTGTGCGGGAAGTTCCTGGATCAAAGAGGACGGTAAGCATAGCCAAGGTCAACCCTGGAGGCAAAGGTCATAGCTGTTAACAGCCCCACAGATACCTGTATGCTTGCTGGAGACTTTGGCCACGCCTGGGCCACACCTCTGCAGTGGACCGTCTGTCCTCCTGCGCTGGGGTGTATCCCTGGACTCTGCAGGGCTGCAGAGGTGGTTGGGCGGAGCAGCTGATGAAGCACCAGGCCTTTGGTGTTGAGGGCCCCACCCATTGGCATGTGCTTGGATCGATGATGACTCCCCCATAAACATTCCTTGGAAAAGCTGAACAAAATGAGTGAGAACTCACAACCGTCGTTCTCATCGTGACTGAGGTCCAGCACATTGCCTCTGGCAGGGACTATGGCAGTGAGGGCCCACGATTAGGGTAGCAGTTCTCTCCACAACCCAGGGTGTGCCTAAGTTGAAAGGTCCATTCGTGTGGCTCAGGAAGGCAATCACTCAGTTGTCCATATGGGCAGCAGAGTGCCTTGTGCAATGGTGCTGTGAGTTTGCTTGGCAGCTATCCATGTGGGAAACAGTGGTGAAGGATGTAGCAGGGTGTACAGGGTCTGATTGTGTGGATGTGCCCAGGCCACTTGTTTCCCACGAGGGTCTCCTGCATGTGGCAAAGACCCTGGTCCCTGTGGGGTAGGTCTCAGAATCAAGTCTTTTCGTCTTGGCCAATTGGACCCACGAAGCCCGGTCCCCTGTCTAGCTTTAGGTCTATGAGCTGGTGGTCTGATGTGGCAGCAGAGTTCTGCAATGGTCTCAAGAGATCAGGCATCCCCTTTATATGGCATTGACACTTGGTGGTAGTGCCTGATGACCTGGTGGTAGGAGTTAACCTGGCATGAATGTTGTGTTCCCTTCTCTTGGGAGATTCTTCGGCAGAGTAGAGTGTCTCTTGGGCTGGGTGCAAAGGAAATGACAGGGACAATGGGATGGGTTTGCTCAAGGACACCCTGGTGAGCATGATTGCTGTGAGTTCTCATGGCCGGGAAGAAGGTTAATCCTTGGAGCTCCCAGGGTGATTCCCAGTGATGTCAGAGCTTCTTCATGCAGTAGAGTTTGGGCACACGACTGGTACAATTTGGTTGGTGCCTTGGTGGGATTCTAGGCCAGTAATGTCCCGGGATCCCTTTGCTGAGGGTGTGAGTGTCACGAAATCTTTTGTACTCTTGAGCTTGAATGAAGAATGTTTGCAGGACTCTGCTACAAAGGCTCGGATACTGTGCTGATCCTTTTGGAATGGACATCTCCCTTTACCTGTGCTTCCAATGCAGGAACAGTGAAGTGACGCAGTTATTTCAGGAGTGTTAGGACTTTGGGCATGGTGGCTTCCCTCAGCTTGCAGCAGCAGCTGCTGGACTCCTCAGGCCCTGTAACTCATGCCCCTGGCTCCTGTGCCTGTAATCCTGGAGCCCGAGCCCAGATTGTCATGGCCAGCAGAGATAGCTCGATGTCTTTGGATGGGAGGATGTTTTTAGAGGCATTTGCTGTACCCTGAGGTTCTGAGACTAATCTGCTGCCTGACTGCACCCTGACTTGGGGGATTGGGTCATGTGGCAGGGACATAATCCTGGTGGGTTTCCCTGCTCTGGTGGGTACTCCCTTGTGCTAGATGTGGGTATTGAAGTCCTCTGGGTTGGCAGGTGTCAGGTTGAATCTTCAATGGGTTTGTGGCCCGGTAGCCTGTTCCACTGAGCTGACTTCAGGACATTCGGAGGACTTGGCAGGGTTGGGGCTATTAGGGAGAGGCAATTAGGGAGAGGTCACTGGGGGTCAAGTTTGACCCTGGGTGCATCGGGGCAAAGCCCCTGCTGGCTGCCCAGGCCTGGGAGACCACTGACACACAAATGAGATTGGAAGATGCAGGAGCGGAAGTTCTAGGTTGGCTGTGTTTGCAGTGAGTTTCTTGCTCTTTGCTGCCGCAACACAGAAACCGGAGCAGCTGTGGAGGAGCTCCTGTGATCATACTCACTTGGTGACTCTCAGAGCACCCCACACCTGGCAGAGGTTCTAGGCGACCAAAGGCCAGACTGTGTCTCAGGTCCTATGAGGCAGTGTGCCTCACAAAGTGGTCCTTTCTTTCCCTGGAAGTTGCCACGGGTTTTGGGGTGCGCGTGGAAATTTTCACTCTGTGCCAAATGTCAGTGCCCATCCACGGTATTAAAGGCTCAGACCCCCAGCAAAGCAGTGCCGGCAGGTAGATGTCAAACCTGTCCAGAAAATGGTCACCGATGGCATGACCAAAACATGCTAGGGACACAGACACATATATACCATCACTCACATCTTCCCAGAATTTAGAACTCAAGCTGATAACCCACAAAGGCCTACTCAGGAGAAACTTATGTGCCCATAGTCCCATCATGGACAGACTGGCTTGTGTGTAAGGAAGCTTCAGGAATGAAACTGAGGGGGCGCGGTGGCAGGGGTCACCACAGGCAGCCTAACCGTGGCTTGGCCCGGGCTCTCATTTTCTCAAGTGTCCCCGTGGTTTTGTGTGTACTTCTCAGGACCATTTGCTGTTGTCAATTTGGCTGTGAAGGGTGGGAAGAAGTGTGCTTCTGCTGAGGACTTAAGGCCCTACAAGACAATAGAATTCAAACTGCCCTTGGTGAGCAGGAAGCTCCCGGATCTCCTAGGATGGTAAGCATTTCCAGGGCCAACCCTGGAGACAAAGCCCTTAGCACCTCACAGCCCACAGAGAGCTGTATGCTCACTGTGCATTTGACCACGGTTGGGCCACACCTCTGCAATGGACCACCTGTCCTCCTTGCATTGGGGGGTATCCCTGGATTCTGCAGGGCTGGGAAGGTGGTTGGACTGAGCAGCTGACGAAGCGCCAGGCTTTGTATGTTGAAGGTCTCGCACCTTGGCATGTGCTTGGATCAATGATGACTCCCCCATAAACATTCCTTGGAAAAGCTGAACAAAATGAGTGAGAACTCACAACCGTCGTTCTCATCGTGACTGAACTCCAGCACGTTGCCTCTGGCAGGGACTATGGCAGTGAGGGTCCACGTCCAGGGTAGCAGTTCCCTCCACAACCCAGGGGGTGCCCATGGTGAAAGATCCATTTGAGCGGCGCCAGCAAGGCGATCTCTCAGTTGGTAGCTCTGGGCAGCAGAGTGCCTGGTGCAGTGGTGCTGGGAGTTTGCATGGCGGTTACCCATGTGGGCAGCAGTGGTGAAGGATGCAGCAGGGTGTGCAAGGTCTGATTGTGTGGATGTGCCCAGGCCAACTGTTTACCTCAAGGGTCTGTTGGGTGCATTAGGTCTCTCTGCTTGTGTTCTGAAGTGGTAGTAGTCTGCCGCAGGGCTCTGAAGAGATCAGACATCCCCTTGAGTGTGGCATTGACACTTGGCGGTAGTGCCTGTGTGACCTGGTGGTAGGAGTCAACCTGGCATGATTGTGTGTTCCCTTCTCTTGGGAGTGTCTTCCACAGAGTGGGGTAGTTCTTGGGCTTGGTTCAAAGGAATTGACAGGGACAATGGGATGGGTTGTCTCCGAGGAAACCCTGGTGAGCATGGTTGCTGTGAGTTCTCAAAGCAGGGCAGAAGGGTATTCTTTGGAGTTCGCAGAATGAACCGCAGTAATGTCATATTTTGACCATACCGTAGAGCTTCTGCACACGTCTGGTGCATTTGAAGGTTACTTGGTGGGAGGGATAATAGGCTAGCAATCTTATGTGATCCCTTTGCTAAGGGTGTCAGTGCAGCATAATCTGTAGTACTCTTGATCATGGATGAAGCAGTTCTGTTTCTCAAAGGACACGGTACTCTACTTCTATTTGAAATGGACTTCTCTCTTTGCCGGAGACTCCAATACAGTACCAGTGATGTGACAGTGTATAATCTGGAGAGTTTGGACCCCGGGCGTGGTGGCTTCTCTCAGCTTGCAACAGCAGCTGCTGGACACTTCAGGGCCTATAACTCATATCCCTGGCTCCTGTGCCTGTAATCCCAGAGCCTGAGCCCAGATAGTCTTGGCGAGCAGAGAAACCTCAATGTCTGCTGAGGTTAGAGGTTGTTTTTCCAGGGCTTTTGCTGTACCCTGGGGTTCTGAGACTAATCTGCTCCCTAACACACCTTTTCTTTGGGGGTTTGGTAATGGGGCCAGGGACATAAACCTGTCAGATTTCCCTGGTCTGGTAGGTGCTCACTAGTTCTGGTCATGGGTAGTACAGTCCTCTGTGTTGGCAGGTGTGAGGTTGAATCTTCGGTGGGTTTGAGGGCCGGTTGCATGTTCCCCTGAGCTGATTTCAGACATTTGGAGGGCTTGTCAGGGATGGGGCGATAAAGGACAGGCAATTAGCGAGAGGTCACTGGGGGTCAAGTCTGACCCTGGGTGCATCTAGGCAAAGCCACTGCTGGCCTCCCAGACCTGCGTGACCACTGACACACAAATGAGATTGGGAGATTTAAGAGCACAAGTGCGAGGTTGGCTGTGTTTGCAGCGGTGCTCTTGACGTTTCCGGCCACAACACAAAACCCTAGGCAGCTATTGAGGATGTCCCCTGATCATATTCATGACTGAGGACTGTACAGGGTACCCCACACCTGGCAGAGGTTCTAGGCGACCAAAGGCCTGACTGTGTCTCAGGTCCTATGAGGTAGTATGCCTTGCACAGCGGTTCTTTCTTTCCCTGGATGCCCTCACGAGTTTGTGGGGTTCCTGTAGACCTTGTCACTCTGGCCAGATGTCGGTGCCCATCATGATATTGAAGGCTCAGACACCAGCAAAGCAGTGCCGGCAGGTAGATGCCAAAAATGTTCAGGCAAAGGTCATCGATGGCAGGACCAATACACACTAGGGACATGGACACTTATGTACCATAACTCGCAACTTCCCAGAATTCAGAACTCAAGCTGAGAACCCACAATAGCACACTCAAGAGAAACTTGTATAACCAGAGTTCATCATGGACAGACTGGCTTGTGTGAAAGGAAGGTTCAGAGATGAAGATTGAGTGAATGCATTGTGGCGCAGGGACCAGGGTCATCCTAAGCATTGCAGGTCAGAGCAGGCCATGGCTCTGTTTTTCTCAAGCGTGCCTGTGGGTTTGTGTGTACTTCTCAGGACTGCTTGCTGATGTCAACGTGGCCGTGCAGGGTGGCAAGAAGTGTGCTTCTGCTGAGGACTTGAGGCCCTACAAGACGATAGAATTCAAACTGCCCTTGGTAAGCGGGAAGCTCCTGGATCTCTAAGGATGGTAAGTGTCGCTCCCCGTCTTCGTGGAGGAATGACACAGGACCCTGCGCTGTTCTTTTGTCTGCTCGGCCCTCCCCGGGTTTGCTGCTGGTTCTTCCCGGGTTGGCTACCGACCCTTCCACCTCCGTGGAAGGGCGGTTCCCCCTGCCACTTTCCCCACTTCCGCGGGGGAGCGGCACACCGCTGGCCGGCTCTCTCGGGGGCTGCACAGGTGTTCCTTCAGATAGATGTTCCCTGATGCATGTTGTCTCTCTCCTCCTTTATAGTCCTCTTCCACCAATCCCAACTCTGCTACCCACACGCCAAGTACGCTGCTCTCCTCCAATCAGGAGCAGGTCCTACAGTTTATTGGTTGAATTGGGGGCAGCTGTGTAGAAGCTGTTTCTCCCTTCCCAGCGCCATATTGTGGGAGAGCAGATGCAGAGAATAAGTCTTAATTCCAGTAACTTAGTCTAGTCCGAGTTGCTCCCAGTTGCTCCCCACAGTAAGCATTTCCAGGGCCAACCCTGGGGACAAAGACCATAGCACTTCACAGGACAGCAGGCTTTTGCATGCTAGCTGGATCCCTTGGCCGCACCTGGGCAACACGTCTGGAGTGTTCTGCCTGTCCTACTTGCACTGTGGCATGTCCCTGGACACTGTGGGCCTGGGAAGGTGGTCAGGCAGAGCAGCTGATGAAGCACCAGGCCTTTGGTGTTGAGGACCCCACCCATTGGCATGTGCTTGGATCAATGATGACTCCCCCATAAACATTCCTTGGAAAAGCTTAACAAAATGAGTGAGAACTCACAACCGTCGTTCTCATCGTGACTTAGGTCCAGCACATTGCCTCTGGCAGGGACCATGGCAGTAATGGCCCACTACCAGGGTAATGGTTCTGTCAAACCCATGGAGTGCTCATGGTGAAAGGTCCATTAGAGCAGCCCCAGGGGGACGATCCCTCAGTTGTCTGCTCTGGGCAGAAGATTGCCTTGTTCATTGGTGAAGTGAGTTTGTGTGGCAGGTCCCCACGTGGGCAGCAGCGTTGAAGGATGCAACAGGGTGTGCAGGTTCGGATTGTGTGGATGAACCCAGGCCATGTATTCAACTCGAGGGTCTGCTGGGTGTGGTCGAGGCCCTGGTTGTCTGTGGAGTGGGTCTCAGAATCGGGTGGTCCTCTACCTGGCCAACAGGAGACACAAATCCTGGTCACCTGGCTAGCATTAGGTCTCTCAGCTGGTGGTCTGATGTGGCAGCAGAGTGCCGGAGGGCTCTGAAGAGATCAGACATCCCCTTGAGTGTGGCATTGACACTTGGCAGTAGTGCCTGTGTGACCTGGTGGTAGGAGTCAACCTGGTATGAATGTTGTGTTCCCTTCTCTTGGGAGAGCCTTCCACAGAGTAGAGTGTCTCTTGGGCTGGGTGCAAAGGAAATGACAGGGACAATGGGATGGGTTGTCTCTGAGGACACCCTGGTGAGAATGGTTGCTGTGAGTTGTCGTGGCCAGGCAAAAAGTTAATCCTTGGAGCTCCCAGGGTGATTCCCAGTGATGTCACAGTTTGATCATGCAGTAGAGTTTAGGCACACGACTGGTACAATTTGGTTGGTGCCTTGGTGGGATTCTAGGCAAATAATGTGCTGGGATTCTTTTGCTGAGGGTGTGAGAGCCACGTAATCTGTTGTACTCTTGACCATGGATGAAGCAGGTTTGCTGGACTGTGCCACGGAGGCCAAGGTACTATGCTTCTCCTATTTGAAATGGACAAACCCCCTTTACCTGGAATCAGAGGCAGAACCAGTGATGTGGTGCAGTTAACTCAGGAGAGTTAGGACCTTGGACATGGTGGCTTCCCTCAGCTTGCACAGCAGCTGGTGGACACTCCAGGGCCTATAACTCATGCCCCTGGCTCCTGTGCCTGCAATCCTGGAGCCTGAGCCCAGATTGTCTTGGCCAGTAGAGAAACCTCGATGTCTAATGGGGTTGGAAGTTGTTTTTCTGGAAACTTGCTGTACCCTGGGGTTCTGAGACTATTCTGCACCTGAACTTACTCTGTCATGGGCAATTGAGTCATGGAGCCAGGGACATAAAGCTTTTGGTTTTCCCTGGTCCGCTGGTGCTCACTTGTCTGGTTGAGGGTAGAGCCGTACTCCTGGTTGGCAGGTGTGAGGTTGAATCTTCGGTGGGTTTGTGGCCCGGTTGCATGTTCTCCTGAGCTGACTTCAGGACATTCAGAGGTCTAGCCAGGGTCAGGGCAATGAGGGAGAGGTGACTGGGGGTCCATTCTCACCCTGGGTGCATCTGGGCAAAGCCCCTGTTGGCCACCTGGACCTGTGAGGCCACTGGCACACAAATGAGATTGGGAGATGCAGGAGCGCAAGTGCTAGGTTGGCTGTGTTTGCAGTGAGTGTCTTGCTCTTTCCGGCCACACAAAGAACCCCTGGGCTGCTGTTGAGGAAGTTCCCTGAGCCTACTCATGACTTGGGACTGTGCAGGGTACCCCACACCTGGCAGAGGTTCCAGGTGACCAAAGACATGACTGAGTCTGAGGTCCTGGGGGGCAGCATGCATCACACAAGCGTTGCTTTCTTCCCTGGAAGTATCTGCGGGTTTTTCGGGGTGCCCATGGAACTTGTCACTCTGGGCAAGATGTCAGTGTGCATCCACGGTATTAAAGGCTCAGACCCCCAGCTAAGTAGTGCCTGCCAGTATATGCAAAAACTGTCCTGGCAAATGTCACCGGTGGCAGGACCAACACACACTTGGGACACAGATGCACATATAGCATCTCACGCATCTTCCCAGAATGTAGAACTCCAGCTGAGAACCCACTAGGGCCTATTCAGGAGAAGCTTGTGTAGGCCTTGTCAATCATGGACAGACAGGTTCAATGACAGGAAGCCTCAGGGATGAAGATTGATGGGACGCGCTGTGGTGCTTGACACCACAGCAGCCTAGCGTGGCAGCTTGGAACAGGCCAGGGATCAGGTTTCCTCAAGTGTGCTTGTGGTTTGTGTATACGTCACAGGACGGCTCGCTGACGTTGATGTGGCCATGCAGGGCGGGAAGAAGTGTGCTTCTGCTGAGAACTTGAGGCCCTACAAGACACTAGAATTCAAACTGCCCTTGGTGAGAAGGAAGTTCCTGGATCTCTGAGGACGGTAAGCATGGCCAAGACCAGCACTGGGGACAAAGGCATAGCACTTGACAGCCCCACAGACACCTGTATGCTTGCTGGAGACTTTGGCCACGCCTGGGCCACACCTCTGCAGTGGACCGTCTGTCCTCCTGCGCTGGGGTGTATCCCTGGACTCTGGAGGGCTGCAGAGGTGGTTGGGCGGAGCAGCTGATGAAGCACCAGGCCTTTGGTGTTGAGGGCCCCACCCATTGGCATGTGCTTGGATCGATGATGACTCCCCCATAAACATTCCTTGGAAAAGCTGAACAAAATGAGTGAGAACTCACAACCGTCATTCTCATCGTGACTGAGGTCCAGCACGTTGCCTCTGGCAGGGACTATGGCAGTGAGGGCCCACGATTAGGGTAGCAGTTCTCTCCACAACCCAGGGTGTGCCTAAGATGAAAGGTCCATTCGTGTGGCTCAGGAAAGCAATCACTCAGTTGTCCATATGGGCAGCAGAGTGCCTTGTGCAATGGTGCTGTGAGTTTGCTTGGCAGCTATCCATGTGGGCAGCAGTGGTGAAGGATGTAGCAGGGTGTACAGGGTCTGATTGTGTGGATGTGCCCAGGCCACTTATATCCCACGAAGGTCTGCTGTGTGTGGCAAAGACCCTGGTCCCTGTGGGGTAGATCTCAGAATCAAGTCTTCTCATCTTGGCCAATTGGACCCACGAAGCCTGGTCCCCGGTCTAGCTTTAGGTCTATGAGCTGGTGGTCTGATGTGGCAGCAGAGTTCTGCAATGGTCTGAAGAGATCAGACATCCCCTTGAGTGTGGCATTGACACTTGGCGGTAGTGCCTGTGTGACCTGGTGGTAGGAGTCAACCTGGCATGAAAGTTGTTCTGCTTCTCTTGGGAGAGTCTTCGGCAGAGTAGAGTGTCTCTTGGGCTGGGTGCAAAGGAAATGACAGGGACAATGGGATGGGTTGTCTCTGAGGACACCCTGGTGAGCATGGTTGCTGTGCGTTCTCGATGTGTGGCACCAGATTCTCTGTGGAATACTCAGGATTATCCTTGGTGATGTCAGAGATAGATCCTGCAGTGGAGCTTGGCACACATCTGGTGCATTTAGGTTGGTGCCTTCATTGAGGGATTCCAGGCAAGTAATGAGCCGGGATCCCTTTGCTGAGGGTTTGAGTGCCACGAAATCTTTTGTACTCTTGAGCTTGAATGAAGAATGTTTGCAGGACTCTGCTACAAAGGCTCAGGTACTGTGCTGATCCTTTTGAAATGGACATCTCTCTTTACCTGTGCTTCCAATGCAGGAACAGTGAAGTGACACAGTTAACTCAGGAGAGTTAGGACCTTGGGCATGGTGGCTTCCCTCAGCTTGCAGCAGCAGCTGCTGGACTCCTCAGGCCCTGTAACTCATGCCCCTGGCTCCTGTGCCTGTAATCCTGAAGCCCGAGCCCAGATTGTCTTGGCCAGCAGAGATAGCTCGATGTCTTGTAGATGGGAGGATGTTTTTAGAGGCATTTGCTGTACCCTGAGGTTCTGAGACTAATCTGCTGCCTGACTGCACCCTGACTTGGGGGATTGGGTCATGTGGCAGGGACATAATCCTGGTGGGTTTCCCTGCTCTGGTGGGTACTCCCTTGTGCTAGATGTGGGTATTGAAGTCCTCTGGGTTGGCAGGTGTCAGGTTGAATCTTCAATGGGTTTGTGGCCCGGTAGCCTGTTCCGCTGAGCTGACTTCAGGACATTCGGAGGACTTGGCAGGGTTGGGGCTATTAGGGAGAGGCAATTAGGGAGAGGTCACTGGGGGTCAAGTTTGACCCTGG